CCTTCCCCACCCTCCGTCCCTCATGAACCCTTGTCATTTATAAATTATTTCTATTGTCATATCTTACACAGACAGCTGTCTTCCTTCACCAATGTTTCTGTTGTTCGTTCCCCTGGGGGTGCACAGTGATATGTCCATCATTGTGATCAGTTCCCCCTTTCTTCCCCCATCTTCCCCCTGCCCTCATGGTATCCCTCCTCCCATTCTTGTTCTTGAAGGGTTTATCTGTTCTGGATTCTGTGTGTCAAGAGCTCTTATCTGTACCCGTGTACATGCTCTGGTCTAGCCAGATTTGAAAGGTAGAATTGGGGTCATAATAGTGGGGGTGGGGGAAGCTTTAAAGAACTAGAGTAATATTGTATGTTTCATTGGTGCTATATTGTACCCTGGTAGGCTTGTCCCTTCCTTGTGACCCTTCTGTGAGGGGATGTCCAATTGTCTACAGATGGGCTTTGGGTCTCCACTCTGCATCTGTACCCTGTATCCCCCCACCATTCGCATTGATATGATTGTTTATTTTAGGTCTTCTGATGCCTGATACCTGATCCCTTCGATACCTCATGATCACACGGGCTGATGTGCTTCTTCCATGTGGGCTTTGTTGCTTCCCAGCTAAATGGCCGCTTGTTTATCTTCAAGCCTTTAAGACCCTAGATGCTATATCTTTTGATAGCTGGGCACCATCCGCTTTCTTCATCACATTTGCATATGCATACATTTTGTCTTCAGTGAACATCTTAGGAAGTGAGCATCACAGAATGCCAGGTTATTAGAAGAAAGTGTTCTTGCATTGAGGGAGATCTTGAATCGAGGCCCAACGTCTGTCTGCTACCTTAATTTTTAATCTAAAATATATGTACATAGATCTATGCCCCTATCCTTATATGTAAATATATTTACATATGTACATGCCTCTTTTTATATCTCTATAAATGTCCTTTGCCTCCTAGTTTTTCCTCTCTTTCATTTTACTTTCTTCTTGTCCCACTATCATGTTCAGCCTTCATTCAATTTTCAGTAATTCCTCTCAGTTACATTGCACTTGCTCAAGCCCCACTAGGCACTCTATGCCCTCCTCACCATCGATTTTAGATCATTTGTTTTCCCCTTGTCCCTGGGTTTGTTGGATTCCCCCCTTCCTTTTCCCAACCTCCCCCTCTCTCATGCCCCCAGCCCCCAAAGCATCTGTCCTGTTTTTTTCTCCTCAGAATTATTTATCCTGCCTATCTTATATAGAGAGACATGAAGAAAAGAAAAGCCTATGAATAGTTCCAGGTCTGTCTGTTGACCTTTATGAATTTTTTCCAATAGTCTGATGAGGTGCCAAGCCCTTCCCTCAAAGTCTGTTTTTGGGATTCCCTGGGGACTTCATTGCATTGCCTCCACTTGCTGCTCTGGTGCACTCTCTGCGTGTTTCGCCCCAGTGTGTTGAGATTCTCTGTAGCATTTGTTTATTGAAGAAATTTGGCAGTTATGTCATGATATTTTTTGGCACCATGTAATGTTGTAGTTATCTTCCATATGGTGATCTGATATAATTATCTTCCACTTCCATAAAACGCTTATTTTCATATAACAATTTGGTCTTCAGAAACTAACGATGTCAAAAAGTGAGTATTGGGTGTCGTTTTAATCCCCAGACTCGGGCTAACTTGAATTCTTCAGAACACTACTATCTTACATGTGAAGGAGCGCTGGTAGCACCTTGGTTAAAGGCTCTGCTGCTGACTGAAAAATGGGCAGTTCAAACAGATCTAGGTAGCTCCAAAGGTAAAAAGATCTGACAAACTGCTCCCATTAAATTACATCCGAGATAATACTGTGAGGCCGTTCTGCTTTGTCACTTGGGATTACTCTGAGTCAGATTAGACTTGATGGCACACAAGGACAAATCCTACATAGTGCTCTGAATTTTTCATTACTATTTCTGACTCATGGCATCATTTTGATTCTGTAGTGACATGTACAACTTGAAGGAAAGTCACTTCTACCCGCCCTTTCAGACTACATTTGAAAATTAATATTTTGAGTTAATTTCACTAAAAACAACAACATATATCACCCTCTTTGAACAGTAGAAGTATATGGGCCACGCTGACTCTGTAAAGAGCACAGAATATCACTGGAAATCTTACAGATACTGTGGGGATAAAAAGAACGTTACAAATAATTATAAATAATTTTGACAATTTAGGAGAAACAGACCAGTTGCTTCCAAAAGAGAATCAACCACAACTAATCTACTATAAAATAATTTGATAAGCCATATAACACGGTGTTAGATGCCAGAGAGTAGATTTCAACCTATAGTAACCCTGAGCACAGCAGACTGAAACACTCTCCAGTCCTGCGTCATTCTCACCATTGTGCCTAAGGTTGAGTTCATCCTTACAGTCACGGTGTCAGACCACTGCATCAAGGGTCTTCCTCTTTTTCGCTGCCGTCTACTTTACCAAACAGGATGTCCTTCTCCAGGGACGAGTCTCTCCTGGCAACATGTCCCCCAAGTATGTAAGACAAAGTCTTGCCATCTTCACCTCTACGGAGCACTCTGGTCATACTTCTTCCAAGACAGATGGACTTGTCCCTTTACAGCCCATGGTACTTTCAAGATTCTTTGCCAGTGCCACAATTTAAATGCATCAAATCTCCTTCAGTCTCCCTTATTGAGTGTCCAACTTTCACATGCATAGGTACCATTGCTTGGGTCAGGCGCACCTTAGTCCTAAAATTAATATCCTTGCTTTTCAACACTCTTTTAAGAGAATCTATGCAGCAGATTTACCCAATGCAATGAATCTTTTCCTTCTTCCATTACTTTCATTTACAGCAGTGGTTCTCAATCTGTGCACCGCTACCCCTTTGGGGGTTGAACGACCCTTTCCCAGAGGTTGCCCAAATTCATTACAGTAGCAAAATTACGGTTATGAAATAGCAACAAAAATAATGTTATGGTTGGGGGGGTCACTATGCTTTAATTATATTTAATTACGTTCAATTTGTAACAACGAAAATACATCCTGCCTATCAGATATTTACATCATGATTCATAACAGTAGCAACATGACAGTTATGGAAATAATTTTATGGTGAGGGCCACCACAACATGAGGAAATATATTAAAGGGTCGTGGCATTAGGAATGTTGAGAACCACTGGACAGAGAAACAAATCCAGGGAGACTCACATGTGTATAAGAAAGAGCTTTATATGCAAGAGCTGTTGAATATTGAGAAAACATCCCAGCCTAGTCCAGATCAAGTTCAGAAGTCTGATACCAATCTATAAAGCCCTCTTCAGACTCACAAAACACATGCAATGACACCGAATGCAGGACGATCACAGGCCAGTGGGTAGAAAGTCATTGGGTCCAGTCGTGTTGTAAGCATCTCAGCACTGGCAGGGGTCTCTCTGTGGCTTCTCCTACTTCAGAAGTCTAGTTGCATCAGGGCAGGTCCATGTGGCTTCTCCAGCTCAGGGCACTAGTGCAGTTCCATGTGTCTTGTCAGCTGCAGTGCCTCCCAGGAAGTGAGCCTTGTCAGTAGAGAATCTCCAAGGGTGGAGAGAGAGAGACAGTCTCCCGTCTCCAAGGAGGAAAATACCAGATTTCCAAGAATTCTTAGGAGAAGGCCATGCCCACACACAAGCCTCATTGGCTATGATTCAATGGACAGACTAGACTCCACCCCCCCTTCACTCTTAATCCTTTTATGTCTCAAATTAACACCAGCTTCTGTAACAACCACAAATACCTTACCTGATCTTAAAGCATGTATATGCTTTTGAATTTTGAATTTAATGTAACACTTAAGAAAATTAAATTCATAATCTTAAAATTTCCTCACGAGGATGGCTCAGCATCACAAAAATCAATGAAATCCACCAGATATGCCAAACAAGAGATAAGAACCACATGATTGCATCAATCGACACAGAAAAGTCATTTGGCAATATCCAACACCTGTTCCTGGTAAATGCTCAAGAAAATAGGAATAGAAGGGAAATTTCTCCACATAAGAAAGATCACATAGGAAATACCAAAGGGCAGCATCTCACTCAGCTGGGAACAACTGAAAGCATTCCTTGTGCAATCAGAAACCAGGCAAAAGGATGCCCTACTTATTCAACTTGGGCACCTGCTATGAATCCCACTTGATCACCATATATACTTTTTGATATAATGACAATAACATGCTCAAATGGAAAATGATAGGACACTTGCTACTAAGTTATAATATGTGGCACTGAATTCTTAGAAATTCTTTGACCAGAGCACTATGGTCTTTCACTCTTAGAAATTCACCAAATTTTCTTCCAAAAGACCCTTATCGGGAAAACAAATTAGTTTAAATTCTTCATTATTGCTGAGTGGCCAGTGCATTTCTGAACTGCTGGTAACCCACCCCCCACCAGCGTTCCTAATATTCACACTGGGACAGTTAAAATACAGATCGCTAGCACCACAGCGATCCTTCCCATCAGCCCCTTCATTTCCACACAGCCTTTCCTCCCTTCTGTACCAGCTCCTTAGTTCCTGACAACCACTAACCCTTTCTCCACCTTTATAATTTTGTCGCGTCAAAATGTTACATACTTGGACTATTCTAGTATGTAATGTTCAGGGATTGCTTCTGCTCTATCATCAGTAAAATCATTTGTATCAAAATCTATTATTTCTACGACTATGTATTCCATAGTATGAATGTAATACTTTTTGCTTAACTGCTCACGCATTGAAGGACACCTGGGTTGTTTCGGGTTGGAACTATGAGACATAAAAAAATTAATGTATACATTTTTGTGTGTGACCATCAAGCCGTTATATTATTCTTTTCTGTGCTTAGCTGTTAAAAATCATAGATTAAATAGCAGAGTGATTATATTTGCCAAACTCCCCAGTACTTCAGTAAGAGCTGTTTAAAAACACGTTTAAGGAAATGCAATCAGTAGTTAGTGTGTAAGCTTCTCACACTTCTCTTTTCTTCTTTGCTTTATTTAAAGCCTTGTATCCTGATGAATAACATTCAACAATTGCGAGTCCAACTGGAAAAAATGTTTGAATCCATGGGAGGGAAAGAGGTGGGTATGTGTTTGCCCTTGCATTTGCTGAACACCTACTTAGAGATCATTAGCAGCATATAGACAGTGTCTTTAGCTCTTCCACGATTAACTCTGAACGTGACAACAACTCAAACATGAACAATGTTAATAACCTGAAATCCCATGGACAACTAATATGATATTGTCCTCATCAGAACAGTAAATACAAAAAAAAGAAGTGTGAATGGGAGAAGAAGCGGTCTGAAGACCTTTTAAACATACATCTCTCTAGATATCTTTATAGATATATAGATATATTTACATATACCCAATTAAACACATTTGCTAATGATCTGCAATACCCTACCAATCATAGATGTGTCTTTTACTGTATTGAGCAGTGTCCGCTTGATATTGATGCGTGTTCTGAAGGATGCTTTGCGGTGCTAGTGTCTTTGATGAACTCATGGTTGTATTGTTCACATCTGAAAATCTCTGGTCAACAATGTGTTGTGTGCTGTGTCTGTAATGTATCGTGTCTCTGTCCTGCATCTTTGACTTGCAATTCCACGAGCAGAAGCAGGAAGGAGAACGATTCTTTTATGAGGTTTGTGATAGTAAGCATTTTATCCTTTTCCGGCTGTTTTTACTACTTTTGCAGCCCTTCAACCTAAAGACCATTGAACTTCCTACTTACTCTCATTTGCTTGCTTGGCTCGGCAGACAGCTAAAAATGAGTTGTGCATCTGCCTTCTGCTGCCTGCCACAAGTGAGCCCCCCAGGATTGAGGACTGGGGTGACACACAGAGGGGGGATCATAGAACAGAGGTTCTCTGGACAGACACCTGCCTACTTTCTCCCACCTATAAAAACAATGCCCCTCAAAAATGGCTAGGTAAAGAATGGGGAGGTGGGGTTATTTCTGTTTGAGATTTACATACATGGTTGCTTACTGCACTGAATGTTTGCAACATATGTAAAGCTAGGTTGGATTTCAAAGCAAAATGTCCCTTTTATCTAAAAAAGTGTAAGGCAGCAAATGTTTCTTTTACAATTTTTAACTTCTTCATGTTTGATCTTGCTTTGAATCCCAAAGAGACATTTATACCTTTCCTCTCGGCACCTATTTCATTTCCCCCAAACCTAGGACTTTCACTATTTAGCATCCTACAAATGAGAAGTGGTAAAAACGTGTGATGGTGCAAGACATAAGAAAATGAACTTTTATGAGATGTGCTTCGACTGCAGTCTCAGTTTAATTTGTGCAAAACAAGGCTCCGTTCCCCAAAGTGTGTCTGTGCTCTGGGTGAGGCTTGAGAGCAGCAATCTCATTTTTCTTTGTTTTGAGGATTCATCAGCTTAGTTAGGTGAGCCCAGGCAATCGGGGATCATAACGGTGCGATCCCCCTCTGACGTCAGTGATGTTTTATATTCAGACCTTAAGACTATTTACTGTTTGGGAAAGTGTTGAAGACATTACTGATTCCTTATGGGAAATCCTGTATCACCAGTCAGTGAATTTTAAAGACTACCAATCATCTACATATGAAGGTCAATTTAAAGCTGCCTATTTCCAGAATCTTCTCCTCTGGCTCACTACCATCTCATTGTTACTCTGTGGTTAAACTCTAAGGTCTGAAAGATTCTGCGAGGCAGAATATTAACCAGACAAATAAAAAAAGGCATACCAATGAGATCAATCAGACCTGGAGGTACAGGAAGCTGTTCTGTGAGCTGAGCCTGAATAATCAACACACATAGCAAAAGGAAAATGGGCTTGTGCTTTTACACTGTACTGGCCTCGCATTAGAGACTGGTTTCAGGTATGTGGCTCATGCACAGCCTTCTTCTCAAGGGAGGAAATAAGCAGACATTTTGTACGTGGTGCCTTCTCTCTTTTTCCCTTGACAGCTTTCTATTTGCTACCCCACCCCCTCACACAGAACAGACATGAATGCCTAGTTCTTAACAGAGTAATTTGCTAGAGGGATAACATTGATCTGATCCTTGTTATTTTCTTTCATTTAAATGTTCCCCTTCCCTGTCCATCTCTCCCTTTGGTTCTTCTACATCCTCTGCTTCTCTTTACAAGCAGTTTCTTCTCCTCTATTTTAGACCCTTACATTTGGTTGCTGAAGGCAATTTTTATATAGGTCCGGTCAGCATTGGTATAGGGATTGTTAGAGGAAGCAAGACCCCAAACCAGGTAACCCAGATGTGAGAGTAGCATGCCCCCTCCCTGGCAGAAACCGGCATCCTGAATGCTGAACTATGTTAGAGTTACCGGCTGCTGCACTTCTACAGCCACCAGAATTTCAAAGACTAGTCAATACTCTTCCATTATCTACTGATAAAACCGTAGCTAACTGGAGTCCATAAATAGAGGGTTTTATAAAGAAGAAGAAGAAGAAGAAAAGATATGGAGGATGGCAGAATCAACCCTTTGGTACGAGAAGGCTAGGCAGCATTTACTACAAACATGTTCAATGGCCTTTGAAGGTTATAGACTATACCCCGGGGTCAAGTCTAAGGAGCCACTGATGGCTCCCTAATCGCGTGCTTGACCGCTAACCAAAAGATTGGCCATTTGAACCCACCAGCCTCTGAAGGAGAGTGATGCGGACATCTGTTTCCATGGAGATGGCAGCCTTGGAAACCCTCGGGGGGCAGAAGTCTTTTCATCACGATCATTTCAAGGCAACGGGTTTGGGTTGAAATGCCAATCCCCAGTTTCTTCCTCACAGTGGAACTGGTAGAAAGCCTTGCCTGGGATTGCTAAAGGCTACTTTCGGACCTAGAGCGCGCTCTTCTTTTAGGCCTATCTTACTATTTTGTCCCTCAACTGGGCTAAGATGCATATGTCTTGCTACCATGACCTAATTAGCAAATCACTGCTTGTGCACTTGCTAAACATCATTTTTAATGCCATGTGTCAGTGGTTGGCTTCTATTGCCAGTATCGCTTGCCTCCAATGCTGCTTGCAGGCATGGCTGCATGCTGCTGCAGCTTGCGGCCACTCCAGCCCCGCCACTGTGCCCGGGTAGCTGCTCGCTCTTTGCAGGATCAGCCTCTCTGGACACAGGAGGAGCTCTTACAACCCTGTAGGTGGAAAGATTCATTGTCTGTATGGAATCCAAGCCGGCCATGCTGACGAATATTATGACAATGAGGGGTGATGTTACGGCTAAGGCCACAGAAACAGTCTCTGAAGCCAGCACTGTTCATGACTGAACACCCTGGTCTCTGTGCAGTCCGCGTCCTGTGCCTGGTTAGACTCAAAGCAGGAGAGCAAACCGCTGAATGTCTGCTCACCAGGGTGCCTTTCCAAAGCCCCTCCTTGGGACCATCATGAATATGTCTAGGATAAGCCACGCACACTCTTCTAGAGAAAGTCCCTTTTAGAAGGTCAGGTGTTCCCTGTCAACATAAAACCAAGGAATCTTTAAGAATCAAATGCTCAGAATCTGTTTTTTGCTTGTCTGTTAATGGTTATTTGCACTTCCATTCAGTTTGGGGACTGTCTCTTTTAAAGCCAGGAGCCCTCGTAGCATCGTGGACGACACCTTGTGTCGCCAACTTCAAGATCAGCAGTTTGACTCCACCAGTAGCTCGGAGGGAGGAAAAGGAGCCTCTCTGCTTCTGTAAAGTGTTCCAGCCACACAAACCCACAGAGGCGA